TCAGCTTGCTTGCTCCTCTGATGCTGCCTGGCCTGCTGTGTTCCTCCAGCTCCACACTGTGTTAGCCTATATATTATGCTTTTCAAAGATTTTATTTTTAGCATCTGCAAGAAGTCCTATTTAAAATCAATACTCTGGGAATTTTAATAAGTGACAAATTAACGATATTTTTGGGGAATGTTCAACCATTCTGTTTCGATTTAGTCCCAAATAATAGATTTCAGTTTTCATCTTAAAACTTCATTTAAGATCTCTGCCTAGTTGCAAATGATAAAGCGCCAGTCTAGTGTGAAATAATTTTTTTTTTTTTTTTTTTTTGTATTTCTCAAAAATATTATCAAAGGTGCATGTTATCCCCTTGTATTCTATTTTGAAACTCCTGAATCTCTCGTGATCAGAGCTGGTGTTAAGGATATGTATATTTATAAAATATTTTCAGTTTTATTTATTTTAAAATTATTGTAGCGTAATACTTGATTCTTGGATAGTGCTGACTTATTATAACAGTTTCGGGCAGTGATTTTTCTAGATTTCATATGTATAAAATCTGTGAAAAGCATCATAATGGGCTTACTCCATGTTCCATATTTATTTATTGTTCAATGCTATTTTCTACAAATGAATGTATGCATTTAGTAGTTGGGCTGTCCAGGAAGCCCCCATTCAGTTGTGATAAGTGCATGAATTGAAGTGCCATGTAACCAGTGGCTAAAATGAATGCTGTTTCATTAATTGTTGAAATTGTCATTCCAGTAATAAGTTGTGTTATGAAAGTTTGCAGAAGATAAATATAAGTAGTAGGGTTAACATTCAGACACTTAGCAGATAATATTTAGTAATGACAAACACAGCTACTGCTAAACTTCGATTGCAAACTAAAATGTGCAGCTGAACAAAATAAGCGAAGATCTAGGTTATAATAGCCAAGTAAACTGAATTTTTGAATCTGTCTGGAGTAAATCTTTGAGATTATTCCAATTAAAAGCAAGGAACTAGTGTTTTAAATGGGAGGGTGGTGGTAGTTGGATATTTTGTTCAGGATATGCTCAGTTACAACTATATCTAATGCAGCATCTTGTGGTGAGAAAGCAAAATTGCACCAAATCCCACTTAAGATAGTTAACGAACAAATGTTTCCACCCCAGACACTATGGTGCATTACATATTCAGCATGTCAAGAGTTACTTATTTAATTGAATAAGGGTCTCGATACCAGCCACTTCTATGTTGCCGAAAACTAATCCCTTGTCGATTTTAGAAAACAATACATAGTAAACCAAAAATCTGTTTTTGAAATTTATCCTATAGCTTAGCCTTGAACAGTTGTATACGTTGTTCTTAAAATCTATTTTGTATATGCCAGGGAGGCAATGGCCTAGTAATTAGACCTATTAATCCAGAAACTCGAATGTTCTGGGGACCTTCGGGGAAGGAAATCTGTCATCCTTAGCTGGTCAGGCCTACATGTGACTCCAGACCCACAACAATTTGGTTGGCTCTTAACTGCCCTCTGGCAGTTAGGAATGGGCAATTAATACTGGCCTAGCCAACAGTATCAACATCCCTGAATGAATTTTAAAAAAAGTTAAAGATTGTATGGTAATTTGCAATTTGTGCAGGTTGTAATGGAGTTCGTGGTAGTTTGAATTCTTTAAACACTGGTTATTTTTAACTTTCTCCTTGTTATGTGGGCAAACTAATTAAGATGATGAAAGCCATGAACAAATCCAATGAGCATGTGTTAGCATTCGGAGCTTGTTTCAACGAGAAGGCAGATTCACACTTAGTATGTGTTCAGAATGATGATGGGAACTACCAAACACAGGCCATCAGTATCCACAACCAGCCCAGAAAGGGTAAGTGCATGTGAAGTTACCTAAATGCAAAAATTATTCATATGTTTGATTTTGATTTTTGTCTGCATGTATTGCTCTGTGAAATTACTACTCCAAGTATTTGTAAATATATTATTCATTTGTCAAGTAGAGGCTGCAAAAATATAATAGTCATTGAATGACTCTTGATAGCAGTAAATAAGCATTAAAATGATCCACAGCATGACTGTTTTTTCATAATTCTGTTTTGCAGTAACGGGAGCCAGTTTTTTTGTGTTCAGTGGTGCTCTGAAATCGTCTTCTGGCTACTTGGCCAAATCTAGCATTGTAGAAGGTAATGGCAATGAATAAAATACTAGTGTGAGGAAGCTGTAAATTCCATCCATTAATTCTTATCCTGTTCAGATGTTGGGTACACTTCTTTTGAGTTTCACCCCTCCATTGTGGAGATGATACAGTATTTCCAACAACCAGGCTGAAGCACTGGTGTGTTATGTATAGGTCCAGGATCTGATTGTGCAGTAAAAATGGGTTGGCAATGGCCTAGTGGTATTGTCCTGGACTGTTAATCCAAAAACTCAGCTAATGTTCTGGGGACCTGGGTTCAAATCCCACCACGGCAGATGGTGGAATTTGAATTCAATACAAAGAATCTGGAATTAAGAATCTACTACATTGCTGATTGTTGGAAAGACCCAGGTGATTCACTAATGCCTTTCAGGAAAGGAAATCTGTTGTCCTTACCTGGTCTGATGTACATGAGACTCCAGACCCACAGCAATGTGGTTGATTCTTTACTCCTCACCTGACAAAGAAGTAGCGCTCTGAAAGCTTCTGACTTTTGAACAAAACAAAAAGTCTGTGCTTTATTGTAACTGTTGATTATCATCCACAGTTAGTTTATCCAAGGATAAAATGAATATCATTTGAGTTGGGGGATTCACAATTTGGAGCATTTAAAAGCAATACCTTTTTACTGTCCTGGTAGCTAAATCTTGATGGTTTGTATATTACGTAACACTTCCGATAGATTGCAGTTTTATAACTGCACTGATTTACATTAAATGGAGACTAAGTGCAAAATTTATTTTGGTCTTGCTGTAACTGAATTTCTACTTTGAATGTATTTTCAGATGGTATGATGGTACAGATCTCAGCTGAAACAATGGATTCTCTGCGACAGGCACTGCGAGAGATGAAAGATTTTACCATAACTTGTGGCAAAATTGATGCAGAAGAACCACAGGAACATGTTGACATACAGTGGACAGAAGATGACAAAAATATCAATAAAGGGTAAATGAAGGCAGGAGGGAAACTTTTTTGAAAAGAATTAAACTAAAATGGCCTTACAGTGTGAGAATAATCACGGATTTGTGGAGAGTGGTTGGGTGTAATATCAGTGACTGCAATAGGAAATTAAATACTCAAGATCAATAAGCACCATTTTTCTCGAGTATTTTGGGCAATGTGTTTAAGTGCATGGCCATTGCAAATGATTTTATGCAGTCCTTGTGGGAACTTTTGGGTTGCCCTCTTGCTCCTTGTCCTATTTTGCTACTCTTTTCTCATGAAAATGGTAAGTTAGATGGAGAGACATTAGTGTTTAAAAATGGTAATGCATGGAATTAGCTATCTGAGTGTCAAGTGGTATTTTCATATCAGTTGTTTGGCTGATGATCTGTTTCTTCAGTTCTAATGCAGTTTTTCTGTGCTGTATTCTATGTTGGAACAAACCTGTGAATAATCTATAGAAGTCGATGCTTGTTTTCAAACTCAAATAGGCTTTCGATAAAATGAAGCTTTACGTCAAGGCATTAATAATCCTGATTTTGTAATGTACTAATTTATCAATGCAGTTATTTTAAGCTTTTTGAATTTTAAATTTGTAGTGTTGTCAGTCCAATTGATGGAAAATCCATGGATGAAATTGCAAGTGTGAAGATATTTCATGGGTCAGAATTCAAAACAAATGGCAAAGTCATTAGATGGACAGAGGTAACAAAATATGTTGTTTCTGGTCAGTATTGCACTTCTGCATTAATTTGGTGAACATCTTGGGATGGACACCATCTCTTTTTGGGGTAATATTTGATGGTTGCTTATGCAAGATGCAGGCATGCATGAAATTTGTCTTCCGTTTTCTAAGTTTTATAATTTCAGGATAAGGGATTTAGAAATGATGTGAGAAATGCCTTCACCGAAAGGGTTATGAATCTTTGGGAATCTCTCTAGCTAGAACATTCTGGATGCATCATCATGGAATATTTAAGGCTGAGTTTAACGGATCTTTGTACTCGTGGGGGATTCAAAGAATGATGGGGAGTGAGGGTAAAAGTGCAGTTAAGGCCAAAATTATCTACGATCATGTTATATATGGGTGTAAGCTTGACAAGCCATATGGCCGTTTCCTACTTCTGATTCTTATGTTCTCCTGACATGTCATTTTAAGGCATTAATCTTTAGAATATGATGGCAGAGTTCTAGTAATTGAAGTCTCAGCACATCAGAAAAGGATTCATCACTCGGTTGAGAAATGAAACTTTGTCAATCTACAAGACTTTAAATGTCTTTTATATCTCACTTATTTGGTGAGAATAGTATTTGCCTGATATCACAGTTAGGTAAATTGTTTATGGATATTTGATTTTCTTGGAGGTGAGTTACTAATGCAACATTCATACTTGTGTTCAAATCCAACCATAATTATGCTCCCTCACTTTCTCTCTGTAATCTGCTTGAGCCCTTGTTGGTGTCTGTATGCCTCCAGTTCTGGCTGCTTGCACATTATAGTTAGTGGATGTACCTTCTGTTACTTTGGTACTAAGCTTTAGAATTTCCTTTCAACACCTGTCTGGCGCACACCACTCGTTAAGACGGTCCTTAAAACCTATTACTTTGATTAAGCTTTTGATTGTTTGTTTGTTTGTCATTATTCTCTTAATGTAGCTTGATATCAATATTTAATGGTAAAACATTATCTCAAAGGCTGTATATAGAAACATTCTTTTGTTTAGCCTAGGAATTCCAATCATGTGATTGTGTTTAATAACTTTGTTTGAACTTGTCTTTTTCTTTTAAGGTGTTCTTCCTGCAGAGTGAGGACCAGCCCAGTAGTCTCAGTGACCCAGCTGATCATAGCAAACTTACAGAGAATGTAGCTAAGGCATTTTGCTTGGCACTCTGCCCTCATCTTAAGCTGTTGAAAGAGGATGGAAAGGCAAAACTGGGTCTGCGTGTCACACTTGATTCAGACCAGGTACATAAATCTAAATCTTGCATCCCGACAAACTAAGCTTGGAGTAATAATTTATCCTTGCTTCTCAAAGTTAGACTTTTCCCACAGATGTGTAAGCTTGTCTGAAAAATTCTCTAGATGATTATTAATGCTTTGGATTGTCATGATTTTGGGGGTGGGGGAAGCAATTATGGTGTTTAGTTTTGTCTTGCCTGTCTCAACCACTTTCCAAGGTTTGTTCCAAGTTATCATGAGCAGAAACAAATTGCTGGAGGAACTCCGCAGATCTGGCAGCTTCTGTAGGAAGAAAGCAGGATTAACGTTACGAGTCCAATGACTCTTAATCAAAACTGTTAGCAGCTAGGCAACAGTGGTACTTATGTTGAGGCAGAGGGCGAGAAAGATGAGTTGATAGGTGGAGATGGAGCCCAGTAATTGGAGGGGGGGGGGAAGAGAGAGAGAATGGGGTAGTAAACAAGGAGGTAATGGAGCGCAGGTCAAGCTATAAGCTGACTAAGTGATAATATGGGTGAGTTATGCTGAATGTGACTGTTCTAAAAGCAACTTGTCTTAATGGGACTGGAGTATGGGATAGGTACAAAACATGAAGGGGTGGAATCAACCTCAAGTTATTGAACAAAGAACAATATAGCACAGGAACAAGTCCTTTGGCCCTCTCAGCCAGTGTTGACACATTTTGCCATTCCATATTAAAACTGTCTTTACTTAGAAGATCTATATTCCTCTATTCCCTTCCTATTCATGTATTTGTCCAGGTGCTGGTTAAATGCTGCTTGAAGTTGAGTCCTAGTGGAAAATGAGATGTTCTTCAAGCTTGCCCTGAGGCTCGCTGGAACACTGCAGTACGCCTGTGATAGAAGTATTGGCATGGAACACGGTGGTGTGTTGAAGTAGCAGGCAACTGGAAGTTTGGGGTCACTTTTTGGATAGAGTGTAAGCATTCTGCAAAGTAGTCACCCCACTTGTGTTTCATGTCCCCAAGGTAGAGAAAATCACATTGTGAATAGCAAATACACTAGATTGAAGTACAGTTAAATCGCTGCTTCACCTGGAAGATATGTCTGGGGCCTTGGCAGCTGAGGAGGGAGGAAGGAAGTAAATGTGCAGGTATTCTACCTTCAGTGATTGCATGGGAGTGTGAGATGTTGTGAATGGAGGACGGTGTCCCAGAAGGAATGGTCTCTGCAGAATGCTGATGAGGGAGAGGAATGTGTCTGGTCATGGTATCCTGTTAGAGGTGATGGAAACAGTAGTTTACAGTCCTTTGGATGTGGAGGCTGGTGGGGTGGAAAGTGAAGACCAGAGGGACCCTACCATTGTTGTGGGAGAGAAGGGAAGGGGTGAGGACAGAAACATGGGAGTTGGGCCAGATATGGCTAAGGACTGTCGGTCCCTGTAGTGGGAGTGGGACGACGTGCTGGCATAGTGGTTAGCACTGTTGTTTGGAGGGTTGGTGCAGACTCGAGCGGGCAAATAGCTTCTTTGCAAAATAGTGATCGAGACCTTTTTGAGGAAAAAAGTGGCCATTTCTGAGGACCCCTGTGGAAAATTGCATAGTCATAACAGATGGGATGGAGCAGGGTGTGAGGATGTATAGTGCAGATAACGGAGTCGGTGGGTTTGTAGTGTATGTTGGTGGCCAGCTATCCCCAGAAACAGATATTGAGGAAGGAGTCAAGAGATGGACCAGGTAACTAGAGAACAGGTTGGAAATTGAAGTGAAATTTATAAATATTTCCAATTCTGAATGATAAAGGGAAGCAGCAACAATGATGTTATTCATGTACAAGACAATGTTTTAAGGATGGACCAGATTAGGATTGGAACAAAATGTTCCATGTACCCCAGAGTGACCGGCATAACTGGGACCAATGAAAGTAACCATATCACACCTTTTGAGCTGAAGAAAGTGAGAAGAATTGCTCAAAATCAGTAGCATCTTGGGTTGGTGGCAGATGGGACAGTTCAGGACTTTTCTCAGAAGAAGTGGAGGGCCCTGAAACCATCCTGATAGGGGATGGATGTGTAAAGACGGACCCATTGTTTCTGCCTTTTCCTGCCTCTTGGAGATGACGACCTAGTGGTATTATCACTGGTCTGTTAATCCAGAGCCCCATTGATCCATTTCCAACTGTTGAAAAACCCATCTGATTTGCTAATGCCCTTTAGGGAAGGAAACTGCCATCCTTACCTGGTCTGGCCTACATGTGACAGCAGACCCACAATAATGTGGTTGACTCTTAACTGCCCTGGTCAGCAGTGCCCTCCTGCTATGAATGAATTTTAAAGAAAAAAAAAATTCATGTCCATCGTGAAGAGGGGTCAGTTGCTGCCCGTGAACAGGAAATTCTGAAACTGACGAAGTGTTGGAAGGGATAGTAGGAACTGCAGATGCTAGAAAATCTGAGATAACAATGTGTAGAGCTGGATGAACCGAGCAGGAAGGCTGACGTTTCGGGCCTAGACCGATGCTGCTTGGCCTGCTGTGTTCATCCAGCTCTACACCTTGTTCTCTCTGAAGTTTCAGAAGGGATTGGATAAGGAAGAGCAAAAAGGTTGAGGTCAGTAGGAGTAAGTTCTGTGGGCCAGAAACAGTGGGTCGAAGCAGAGTTGGGGGACTGAGCTTGGAAATCCCCAGGTGAGGTGAGTTGTGGACTGATGCTCAATGGTGGGGTCATGGTCAAAGGGGAGATTGGAAATGGGAAGAAAAATGAAAGTAAATACAAAATTGAATGATGCATCGAGGAATCCGTCTTGCTTGATTCAACATTTAATGGAGAAACCATAATTATGGTTTCAAGGGAGAATGAATAGGAGCATTCTTGAATGTCAAATTAATGATGGCTTTAAAAACCTTTTCAAGTGTCTTTAAACAATATAAAAATGCATTTTCTTTCTTTCTCTCTCTTTTTTCTCCCTCTCCCCCCCCCCCCCCCCTCCCTGGTACTTGTTCAAGTAGAATGGAATATTTATTGTTAACCAAGTCAACTTACATAAATTTCTGTTTATTTACTCAGGTTGGCTATCAAGCTGGTAGTAATGGACAGCCCCTTCCTTCACAGTATATGAATGATCTGGACAATGCTTTGGTCCCAGTAATCCATGGTGGAGCTTGTCAGCTGAGCGAAGGGTCAGTTGTGATGGAGCTCATCTTTTATATTTTGGAGAGCTTCTCTTAGAACACGAAACACATTTTTCTTCTCACTGATGGTATACTTTTCTCCATGATTAAAGACATTTGCACTTTAAAATTAAACTGGTGCTCCATTATTGCTGAATCTACTATGCACCATGGATCATTGTGATTAATGTAATGTAGGACAGGGTACTTTTCATTGTTCTAAAACATATGGACCTGATCTGTTGTTGGACTGATACTGTACTGAAGCATGAAAATTGGAATTTCTGCTACTCGTTTACATTGCCTGGATTGACAGTATATCTATGTATCATTCTTGAGGATTATAAGAATGGTTTGCAAGTTGAAGTAAACTGAGAACATATCAGTGGTTACCGCGACACTACATCACATAAGGACAGTGAGATGCATTGGTGACACCAATACTCACTGACCTCTCTCAGTATTTTCCTTACATGATCAGTTAATCTATCTGGTTTGTATATAATGTACTTATGTATGTCTAAGTTTTGAAGCACTTAACTTATGCCTTGTATGCCACATAATAAGAATATTGTGGTAATCTCTAGCCATGAAATAAAAGTAATGTATAGTCTAAACGTAAAAGACTTTTTAATGACTTTCTCAGCCATACTGCATTTGGTATCAGCTGTGTTAATTGTAATTGCTGGTGCATGAGCACCTCCTGTAATAACTGTTCATATGTAGAGGGATTAGTGTTTAAGACCTCCAAGAAGGGAACCTGCTTCTATTATGGACATTATTCTAAGTATAGGAAGGTATCCTTGGGTACTAGAATGAAGCAGAATCTTGGTCAAATGAATTCCTGTAAGTAAATTATAAAATGTGGTTATTTAAAAGCCAAAAATACTCTGTATATTTGTTTTCTTGTATTTAGAAACATCTATGTTAAGAGTAATTAATACAAGGGAAATGAACATGCCCATAATTGGAAAAAACTGTAGCATTGGCTTAAGACTTAGCAAATAGGTGTTATCTCTTAATCCAGCCTATTTCCTTCACCTGTATATTATTCCTTGAATTGAAATAGGTTTTATCTTGCATATGAGACAAATATACAGAATCACCTGTACATTTAGATGAAATGCTGTCCCATTTCTTTTCTATTGGCAGTAGACAAATGTGCACTTTAGAAACTGACTACAAATAAATGGTTTCCTAATAAAAAAAAAAGTTACTGCATAGTATATTAAATATTTATCACATTAAATCAACAGCAATAAAAATATTCTTGCATAAATTTGTGACTTTTTTATGCTAAGAGTTCAGAAGGCCTGTGGTTATTATTAGTTTACAATATGTACAGAGATTTCAGGGAAGAATCTTGTACTAACGTTTGTATCATTGTTTTTTTTTTTTCAGAAATTTCATTAAAATATCTCACTGAATCAAACTTTTACCCCCCTTTTCCCCCTCCCTCCCCAGAAAATCAAGGCTTTGCAAATAAAGCCTCCGTACAAATTTAAACTTTTCGTTTTTAAACATCGTCAACATCCTCCTAGGTTTTACTTCCATGCAGCAGTTCACTTCTGCTTGAAGCATGTATTAAAATAGTGAAACTAAGTTTAAAATATAGGAAGTTTATTTATTTATAATAATCGTGGATTTTCTACATTCCACTGCCCTGTTTCTTTAAGGTAAGGTAGTTTTCAACGTGCATGTTTCCAACAAAGACAAGGTTTAAACAGATATTTCACATCTTTGGCTTTGTATGTATATTGCATTCCTAATAGCAGCAATTCACGGATTCTTCTGTTCTTTTACAGTAGCAGTCATGAAAAAGTGCATAAATTTTATCTTTGACCTGGAAAAGAAGAATTCAAATGCATTAACAGTTCACTGCATAATAAAACAATAATGCATATGACCCAATAATGCATATTTCTAACTAGTCTGAGTCTGTAATTATGTAATAATTACAATGTTAGTACTTATGGATTTTTAAAAAAAGCAAGGGCAGACTCTGAAGCCTCCATAATTAGACCTTTAACTGAAAGAACAGGAACCTGTAAAGCCAGTTAGTCTAATATCTGCCAGGCAGAATATTTAGAGTATGATACCATGAGTTAATATGGTTCTGTAAAAGGTAAATTGTGTTCAGTTCCCTCTGATCCACCAATGTAATGTACTTGGACTTCAAAAAGACATTGAAAAAGTGCCACCATACAAGAGGATCAAGACTGACAGGCTCACAGTATTACATACTTTGGTATATTGGATGCTGCAGATTATATATGCAGGTTTCCCTTTGACAAAGCTTTGATATTTGTGAATTGTGCAATGTGTCATCATGCAACAATCAATTTAAATTTAAAGGAACCTGCGTGATGTATGTCAGAATATTTTTGTTATGGCCCTTGGAGTATTGGTACTGGAGTAACAGTGCACTTAGCTGGTCTTCGCTTTTATCCAAGATGGCATTCTTGTACTGTATTGTACTAAAATGGTTCGGGCATGTTACCACTTTCCTAGAGTTGATGTTTTTAAAAAAAAAAAAAACTAGCCTAGGCTATTTGAATTGGCAGACCAGTTGCAGTTAGACTTGAAAGTAGATACAAGGTTAAAGTACAACATTTGAAATTGGAAGGGCAAGCAGATCTGATGGTAATTTGCAGTTAGTGAGAATTCAGTAAGTTATAGCTGGGTTCAAGTGGGAAGTAGGACAGACAACAAAGTTGATTACTAGCTTGAAGGTCTAGAATAAAAATACTGAGTCGAGGAAAAACTCAAGTCTAATCTAAAAGTAGTCGTGATATTAATTAAATATAATGCTTTCATATTTAGAAGTAAAGAATAAAATCCAATAAGGTCACAGAGAATTTAAACAACTTTAAGAACAAACCTCTTCTATCAAATAGCATGCTTATCATTTAGGTTCATGGAACAGGTTCCTGTGAAAGTATAAATCCAATTCATGTTGGGAAAGTGCTTAACTGAAGGAACCCAGTCATCTCCATGTCTGAGACTGATGGTTCAAACAAATTCTGTACATTACAAAGGTAGACTCCAACCCAAATCCTGACTTAGACACCACTATTACAGATTAGCCTGCTATGTTATCAAACTGCAGGTCTCCCATTTTGGCTGCACCTCCATGTGAAATCTTGTCTTGTTACTGTCACCAAGTCACTAATAACAAGAACATCCAATTTTTGCAACATTCATTTTATCCTTCAAGAACAACAACAAAAAAACATTTTCTGGCTAAAGTGAACCTCTGCAGAGAAAGATAATTTTTCATCTTTGATGTACGTGCTTTAGGTTATTTAAAGGCTAGAAACTGTGTTAACCCTTTCTGTATCTTCATTGAATAGACTTCACAACAAATCAATAATTGTGTTTATTAGAGAAACCTAGTTGATGGATTTTTCATTCTCAATTTAATGTAGAAAAAATATATAGTTGTCAAATTGGAACTTGGGTAGAATCTTTTATGTTGTGACCCGTACAGTATTGTGTCCAGTGACAGTACATCCTTCTATCTCAGTCGTAGAATATTTTTGAATTGAGAGAGACTGCAGAACAGACCTGGGGGCCTTGTACATCGACTAATTAAGGCAGATGCACGATGGCCATTTATTACGATGGCGAATGAAATAAAGAAACCTAGCTCCAATTGTATAAGCATTGGGAAGATCATACCTAGAGTAGAGATAGTAAGAACTGGTGATGCTGGAGTCAGGGAACACAGCAGGCCAGGCACCATCAGAGGAGCAGGAAAGCTGATGTTTCGGGTTGGGACCCTTCAGAAATCTGAAGAAGGGTCCCGACACAAAATGTCAGCTTTCCAGTTCCTCTTATGCTGCCTGGCCTATTGTGTTTTCTCATGCCTAGAATAGTTTAGTTTTCATCTAAGAGGAGACAATTGCATTAGAAAAAGAGTTCAGAGAAGGTTCACTAATTTGATCATCGAATCTCTGCAGTATGGAAGCAGGTCATTCAGCCAAACAGCAGCCACAATCTTATTGAATCACACAAAGGGCTGAATAGCCTATAGTTGTTCCTATTCCTTTATCCTATTTAAGCTATTCATTCCCATATTAAGCAAATATGACCCAGTAAAATAACAAAAAACTCTTCAGAACTTAGTTTCTGAGCTGAATATCCACTTTACAACAAGACCAAATGGAAAAGTTTTAGCTATCATTTGATTAAAAACATGCATGAAGTAGTACAAGTGTTCGATAACTCAGCTGTGGTTCTAGGCTGAGGGGTAAAGAGGAAACCAAAAACAAACCTACCTTAAGTTAAAGCAGTTACTTTAGTCCTGTGACCTAGGTGAACATAAAGGTGATTATTAATATCTGCTATTGTCATATTGCCTTCCCCCCCACATGTCACAAGTTTTATTTAACAGGCTTATCTGCAGATGTTCTCACCTAGTGGCTGGATCAAGGACCAGCCATTTTTCTGTATTAATTTGCAAATCTTGTCCATTAAGAGGTTCTCTGATTTGAACTTTTAGTTCCAATCGACCACCAGTAGATTTTCTACCATCAAAAATCTAAGGTTAAGAAAGAAAGTGTTTGAGTCAAAATTCCAACAGCTTTGCTACTTTGAAACAAACATTATGCCAGCTGTGAATACTGCTGTGATAAAGCAGTACCATTAAGTAACTTGCCCAGCTAATTAATATCATTCACTCAATATTGCCATGAAACTTGAACAAATCATGGCTAAAGAATAATTGTAATTTAACAAGGTAGGCATGCTCCTTTCTATGTTAAGGTTATACAAGACTAATGCATTTAAAAATACTGGCAACTTTATCTACTCAACAACCTGTATATTTATAGTGTTAAAGGTACTTCAAGAGTTTTGTCTAGCTAAATTTGGCTTTGACCCCTCGCCACTTGTTGGAGTTCAGGCTGGAGAAAGGAGAGAAGAGTTTAAGATGTCAATTTTCAGTAGAGAAAAGCAGGTAGGTATCATTCCAAATAAAAACCAAAAAGAACTGCAGCTGCTGTAAATCAGGAATAAAAACAGAAGTTGCTGGAAGCTCAGCAGGTCTGGCAGCATCTGTGAAGAAAAAAATCAGAGTTAACATTTCGGACCCTTCCTCAGAACGGATTCTGGATTAGTAAGCAGCTTTAGACACCAAGAATGCAGTCTGATCACGTTTTGTGGGGTCCAGGCAAATTTGGCAGTGAATGGCTAAACCAGCTGTCTGCCATTTCCATTCAACTCTATTCTATGGACTTGAGTGAGGGGACATTTTGGGGAACAGTCAGATAGATTCATGGTTTAAATGGGGATTGGCATGAAAGATGGAGGTTAAGATGTAGCAGAGCAGATTGGTAACTGTGGTCCATTCACCTTGACATTTCCAAAGGTTAGACAGTTGGGACTTTTAAAACACCCACTTTCAATGAATAGGGGGAGTTTTTAAACTAATTGACAACATAGAAAGAAGTAGGAGTCATGGAGACAGCCAATCAATGAAGTGATCAGAGATGGTCTCATCTGAAATTGATCTAATGGAATTAGTGAAGTCACACAAAATGATGAGATTAAGGAGGCACAATGCAGATTGGCACCTTCTGTGTGGTCAGAGGGAAATTAAAAATTTGGGTTGGGGCACAGGCCTGGAGGACAGCAAACGTGGTTCCACTTTTCAAGAAGTGCAACAGAGATAAACCACGGAAATACAGACCAGTCAGTCTCATCAGTGGTAGGCAAATTACTGGAGAAAATTCTGAAGGAAATAATTAATCTCCATTCAGGAGGCAAGATTTGATCGGGGACAAGTTAGCATGACTTTATTAAAGGAATTTGTGCCTAAGAAATTTGACTGAACTTTCCAAGGAGTTGACTGGGTGCAAAGGTGAGGGTAGTGCACTGGACACAGTTCAGAAGGATTTTAGCAAAGCATTTATCAAGGTTCCATTTTCAGTGGAGACTGAGAAAGAAAGGTAAAAGCATATGGGTTCCAGGGTAATTTGGCAAGTTGGGTCCAAAATTACGTGCCTGCAGGCTGACGTCCAGTAAGACAAATATTGGCCAGGTGGTTGACAATGACAAAGAAGCTCTTATTATACAGGAGCATAAATCAATTACTCATTTTGGACCTTTGCAGGTAGAATTTAGCACTGAAAAGCGTGAGCTAATCCACTTTGTAAAAACAGTATAAGACAGTAGCTAATGCTGCCTCACAGTGCCAGGAACCAGAGTTCGATTGCACCCTTGGGCGACTGTCTGTGTGGAGTTTGCATATTCTCCCCATGTCTGCATGGGTTCCCTCCAGGTGCTCTGGTTTCCACCTCCAGTCCAAGGATGTGCAGGCTAGGTGAATTGGCTATGCTAAAATTGCCCATAGTGTTCAGGGATGTGTAGATTAGGTGGGTTATAAGGGGAATGGGTTGTGGTGGGATGCATGGAGGGTTGGTGTGGACTTGTTGGGCCGAAAGGCCTGTTCCCACACTGTAGGGATTCTACAATGATGATACAAGGGAGTAGTCCGTGAATGGTAAGAAACGAGGAAGCTCAGAAGAGGAGGGGGATTTTTTTTTTAAGCTCATTCATAGGGCACAGAGACCATTCTCGTCTCTCTGGCTTAGTTACCAACAGTTTTACTGGTTGGGAAACTCTTAAAATATTTAAGAGAACGCACTGATCATAATGCTTTGCACAACAATATAATGCAATCTACTCCATTCCAAATTTGTTTATGTCAGATTATTTAACAACTGGTAATGTTTAAAACATTACATTCGAGTTATTCACACGGATTAATTTGAATAACTGAACCTATTCTCAGTACAAAAGAACAACTGACAACAGAAGTAATCTGCCTGTGCTATCTTTTCTGACGCAAACTAACTTCTAAACATACTGCAGCTATGATCCCTGAAAAGTAATACTTAAATAGCCTAATGTTCTTATTCAGGTCCTCTAGGACATCTCTAACGTACACAGTACTACTGGAATTTGTTTTATGTGGACTTGGTATATTATAACTTGTAACAAATACAGAGAATGCTAGAGAAACTCTAGCAAGTTTGGCAGCATCTGTGGAGAGAACAGCAGAACTATTATGACTTCTTCATTATCAGCTTCAAAACATTAACTCTGCTTCTCTCTCCAGTTTCCAAGCTTAATGTTTGAACTGATCTTACTGAATCATATAATTAAATAAGAGGTGCTGGTCTTTGCAGCTAGCAGAGTACAGTGGAGATCAGTGAGGCAGATTTCCTTACGATAGTTATATGGATCACAAAGATCAGTTCAAATATTAAGCTCGGAAGGTTTGCCTGGTACCCACTGAAAAGTAGTTTAAGACTAGTAACTCTATGCACCTAAATGGCTAATTTTATTTTGTTAAAGCATATGAAGACTAAAGCAGAATAAAAACAATTTTTATATAACTGGTAGGTAATAAAATTAAAGCAATGAAAAGAGATCAATGGCATGATTGTTTTGGGTGGTGGCATTTCCTGCTGTCAATTGAAGAACCAGTAGGAAATGTATAATCACAACAGCCCCACAGCTAAATACTACTCTGGGGAACTTTAACTAGTTGGAGATGGGACATCCACCCCTCACTTAGGTGAGACAGCCATTAGACAAACATGTTGGGTATCAGCTCTGTAGTCCCTGCAGTGGGCAGACTCGGATGACAAGTACTCCTATGATTCTAAGCCCTGGGGTGGGGGCGATGGTGTTGTCTTGCACAGAGAGGGGAATAGAGAGGCTCCTAGGGACTGGTTGATGTCCCATGGCAAGGTCTATGAGAAGTGGGATGTACCCTTACAGGATGACATGCCAGACTTCTCCCCTACTCAAAATCCCCTGTCTCAAGATTGATACTGGGATGGGCAGTGGTCTTCAGTTGTTGACTTTTTTTTGGGAGAGGTCACCAAAGAATTTGAGGGCCCTATGCCCCCAAACCTGCTGGCAGGAGGTATAATTCTATCTAATGACTGATAGTGACTGCAACTAGTTGCAGTGTGTATAGCAGCTAAATACTAGAATTGTGCAGCTCTGAGCAAGTTAGAGATGAAAGGTTTTAAATTCACCTCACAGTGCTGACACCTCAATTAGCTTCAATATTCATAAGACAGGTTAAGG